AAAAAAAAAAAAGGTGCAGACAAATTTGGGGTGAGAAAGTCTGGTGGTGAAAAGGTTAACATGTTAGTTGTGTGTGTGCATGTGCTTTCAATAAAAAAAATATGTTATATATGCCGTAAATTAATTTAATTCTGTGAAAGAACAAGTTTTTACAATTCAGGGAAAATTTTTTTTTATGAAAATGTCAATTTAGCATGGAGTCATGTGACTTTCATGAAATTCAAATTCTTGCAATTACCCCCAAATTACTGAATCGTAACTATGTTTGGTAGTGACAATCTAACAGTTGGTTCTGTAGTATTTTATGCAAATACAGTTATTGTATTGCAGTATTAGTCGTTGAAAGCTATTGTCAGTTTTTCTGCAGAATTGTTGTACAAGAGAGTAGAGCTTCAAAATCAACAATAGGTTGTTTTCTTTGTAATAATATCATCTGATTTGTAAAACAATAGAATATTTGCATAATAATAGAACAATGTTTTCATCTATTTGAATTTAATCTAGAACTTCTGTTGCATGTGGCCACTGCCAGTATGAGTTGAGGCAACACATGCACACATTGCAAGTTCTGGGGTATATTTCATGTCAGAATATTTCTAGGAACCCTTTTCACCCTCTATGTAAACACTGTATCAACTTAAAAGATGATCACTGGAAACCGTTGCAGTTTTGTTTTTATTGTTTTTATAAGGAATCAGAACTTTTAAATGTTTATATTTATTATGTGTCATGCTGGTGTAATTGTAACACAGTACTTAATATTTAATTTAAAGTTTAATATAATTTAATCTCATTATAAATATAATTTATATAACAAAAAATGTCATGGGCATTATAGCTTCTATCCAAGTAAATTATTAAAATGTTGTGTGTTTTTGTCTATTTTGTCAAAGCGCAGGGGCCGTCACCTGTGTACGCGCTGGAATCGAGTCCCAATCGATGATAACAATGTGTGCTTAAAGCGCAAAGGCTCATGGGTGGACACTTGTTTGTAAACAATGACACGCTATGGCCATCTGACGCATGCGGAGATGACGACACCCCCAACTTTAAATTTGTTTACAGTCAGTCATACACCAATTATGTGAAATTGGCTATATAATCAATTAATCAAGAACAATTTTTTTTACTTCCTAACCTGTGCAGAAGGTCTGGAGACACTGCAGTCATTCAAAACTAGTACTATTGCGTTTTTTAATAGTACTAATTTGTCTTTTAAGTACCGTAAATCTCCATTAGAAGTCACACATATTCTTTTGCAAATTTGAACAATTGAAAACAAAAATTTATCATTTCTCATATGTGTAGATGCTCTAATACAAGCCGCATCCCTTCTGTTGCATTGTACCATTTTAATACATGTCGCAGCTTCTAATACATATTTTACAGTAGTCGATTTTTAAACATGTTTTGTTTGCTCTGGCTTCCAGATGCCATATGTGTGATTTCACTCTTGGTGTTCAGCAGCGAGCTTTTTCTTGATGTAACTAGACTTTATCGTTCACTAAAACTTAACTCTCCACACAAGAGAGAAGTTATTTGGCGGAAAAGGGACATGTCCATTTTTATACGCATGTTGTATGTTTCACTGGAATATTTTCACTTCCTTTACATAAACTTCAAAATAAAGACTTATTGTAACAATTGTATACCTTGTTGACTCCCATGTGCGAAGCACAAAATGGGAGTCTTTGCAGTTAGTGTGTCTGTATGTGTGATGTGTGT